GGAAAGAGAAAGGAGTAGACCACTACTGAAGGAGCCTTCCCCTGCACTTCCCCAAATAGAACACATTCCTCAGTCTCCATCTCCATCCCTTTTTACATTTCAGAAAGAGGAAGTTACAGTTGTTCTTTTGGGGCTCTCTGTGTTTTCAGGGAGATAAAGTTTTTTTCCTACACTGGACTCTTCACTCCAGAGAAATGTCTGCATAACTGTGACAGCTAGAGCTGACCAGAGGTCAGATTTCCCTCTCTAACACGAGGTCTCGGGACTGTTTATACTATCTGAGGGGAAAAATCTTCTAGAAGCGTTGAGAGTGTTTCCATACACAGTCCCACTGTGGAACTGAAGTTATTGGCTCTGGTCTGGCCAGCAGCAGCTTTAGGGTGTCTGCCACAACCCTGGGGAGAACCCACAGTTTTTGGGTTTAAGATCCATGGTGGGAAACCTGAACTCTCTGAGTTGCAGCAAAACTAGGGGTACTGAGCTTAGCTTTGTAGCAGGGAATGTGGAAGTCCAGGTCACACATGGCGGTGCTCAGAGTCAAGACCACACAAACCCCAAGAAATACCTCCAAGGCAGCCAGGCTTGCACCATCATGGTGCATAGATGTTATACTCAGGAGACTCGTGTGGGAAGGGACTCTCTGCCACCTCTGTGCTGTGGCTGAGCACTGAGGCTGCAGCCATGGCACACTAGTTCTGTGAGGGTGACATGGGGATGTCTTCTGCTGCAGGAGCTGTGCCAAGTGAGAGCACGGTACTTGAGTGTGCTACGCAAAACCTCCAGAAAAGCTACTAACTACCCGGCAAGTTTATTCTATTAGCAGGCATGCCACCCCTGGCACTGCTGCATGGAGTCACACTTCCCAAGGCAGCCACAGGGATTTGTTTGCTGCACTTTTTTTGCTGTATCTCTTTTCTTGCCTCTTGGCTTGGTTTGCCGTTGTCTTTCTTTGCCCCAACCTTACCCATCTTCGGTTCATTCCTCCATTCATGTATTCATTCATCTGTTCATCCGTGTCTCTCACTAGCTGCCACAGTCTGAGGAGGTAACTGCACCCCTGTGTTTTGTGAGCGTGCTGTTTCCCTTGTGCCAATTGGTGTGTCAGTGCCAGCGCTCACAGCCACAGCTGGCCTGTACATCTGGAGGGAGGTGCGGGCTGCAGCACTGAAGGAGCCCTCTTACATTGGCAAGAAGAGGAGAGGAAGTGCTGGATGTACTGGAAAGCTGTGCTGTGCTGTTGGTTCAGAGTGGGTAGTGGTGTCTGTGTTGTGTGGTAGCTTAGTTCACCGGATCTCTTTTTCCATATGCCCAGTAAGTGCCAGAGAAGTTTACTTGCTGTGTGTTAGTGTGAGTGCTGCTGTGAATGGGAAGTTTCTACAAAGAATCGTCCAGACCAGTAACTCAAGATACCAGGCTCAACTGTCCATCAAGAGACTGTATAGGTTATTGACTGGCTCCTGTATGGCCCCCAGCATGTACAGTAATGGAGACAGGAGGTCATTTCTTGCCTTGCTACTTACTTGACCAAATGAGAGATGAAAGGGAGATGCTACTGGCATCACGAGATTACATCCTTTTGCTGGCTAGGCATGTTTGGGAGACTCCTTTGCATGTGTCTTGCCTGTTTTACCTCATTTCGTGTGTGTTTTTAGAGCATCTGTTTTCTGCAGTACTGGGAGCATCTGTTACCCCATTACATGTGCATGTCCTGTATCCCCTGTAGAGCTAGCTCACTGTGTTGTATCTGTTTGGATCATGATTTTGTCTCTGTTTTTCCTAAGCTTAGATGCTTGAGTAACAAGTATATATAAGAAGACTCTGTGTGTATTTGTGCCTTTTAAATATTTCCCTGTTGTGTTTCTCATTCAGGGTATTCATGTGTTTGCAATATAGATGATAACTTGTTTGTGATTTTGCTCATATTTGTGTTGCTTTTCCCTATTCCATGCTCCTTGTGTTGATGGTTTTTACACTTGTTGCATAAGTGCTCATGTCTACACTCCCAATGCGTGGTGGGTATAAATTGTGCCACCACTTCTACAGGTTCCTGTCTCTTCATCAAAACAGCTCTTTAATTTCTCCTGTTTCAACACATTTCACTGGCTTTCATCCCACCCTCATCACCCCACACGAGCCAGCACCCATCCCACAATCCTCTTGGATACAGAGTATTGAAAAGTGCTGCCATCTGTTTTTAGAGGGGTGTGGGAGGCAAGGAGGTGACTAATTGTAATCAACATCTGGGGTCCCTGGGAATTCCAATGCCTTTCGTTCGGGTTATCTGCGGTATTGCATTCGCTAACACGCGGCTCGTCGTTCTGTGGCAGCTCTTTGCATCTCAGGCTCAAAGTCTGTTGCTCATGACAACAGTGGCTATGCCAGTCTTCAGCAAAAAGAACGAGACGGTGAGTACAACGCGGGCTTCACTCTCCTTCCAGCCAGTAGAGGTGAAAGGATGCAGCGGACCTTTGCGGGGTTTTAGAGCCCATGGGTCTCTGAAAGAAAAGCCAGCTATATGAGGGACTGCAGTAGACCTTTGACAGGATGTGTGGTGGATAATTTATCTGTCAAAATGGTAGTCTGTCATTTCCTCTGAATGCTATTTCTTCAAAACACCCCTTAAATATGACACTTCTCCCTGGTTTATCCCTCCTATTTTCAAACTGAGCCTAATTCCAAGATCCATAAAGTTTCAGGCTGGAAGAGATCGTTACCTTGTCTAGTCTGTGCATTTTATGGCAGACATTAACATTTCATATAGACAGTCCTTCATGAGCCCAATAACCTGTATTTGGCAAAAGTGTCATTGAAGAAAGGCATCCAGCCCTGAGCTCTCCATTGTGGTTTCTCACTCTCTGTTAAAAACTGGTGTCTAAATTCCACTTTCAATTTGTTTGGCCTCACCTTCCTGTCATAATGACTTTCTCTGCCAGATTAAAAAGCCTGTACTCTTCGGTATCTTCTCCTGGGAAGCATCTTCTACACTGCCATAAAGTCAAACACATCTATCGTTTGATAAGAGGAAAAGGTTGAACAATTTAGGTGTCTTTCATAAGGGCATTTCCTCCAAGTTTTGAAACCCTTTAGACACTCTTTTCCTTACCATTTCTAGTTTCTCATCACCCTTTTTAAATGGCAGATGGTACCTCACCATTGCTGTACAAGACATAAGCTTCATCTAGGTCCTATGAACAATTGTCTGCCTTCTCCACCTGAGGCTGGCACCTGTATTAGCACAGCACTGAAGTGGGAGCCTGTGTGTCATTTTTCCCCCATGCTCACCAGATGTTTATTAAACAACCAGTTCCCCATCTGGTGGGGATTTCCTGCATTCCTTTTTCTTAGGTTAACAATTTTGTATTTGGTGTTTGGTTTAGTTGGCCCAAGTTATCAATTGATCTATGTTGTTTTGCATGATTGCCTTGCCTTTACTGTTATTTACACATAATGAATGCAGGGTTTTGCCCTCAGAACTTGTTTTCAGTGATTTTGTTACCTTTGAATCATAATAAAAATGCTGACTAGTATTGGGTAGAAATACTCCCCTCCATAAACACTAGAGCAACCCCTTTAGACTTCTTGAGGTATGTTTGAGGTATGTTTGAGGTAGTTGGTTTGAATTAACATAATCACACAAGCCTAGAGAGGATACATGAGAGACTAGTAGGAAGGCAATAATGTGTATTCAGGTAGAAAGGTACCCAGGTTTTGCCTCTAAAAATTTATTTTCCTTTCTTTTTAAGCGCTCTCATGGCATTCTCCTGGGTGTGGTGGGCTCTGATGTACCACTGAGGGAGTTGCTAAAACTTGCTCCACGGTATAAGGTAAGACTGAGATAATGCAATTTGTTATTTTGCACAGCAAAGTCACTAGTTGTTCTTCCATGGGCATGACTGAAAAATGATTCTTCTGCCTGTAGGAAGAACTATGAGCATAAAGCAAGAGATGTTGGATGCGGTGATGTGTGGTTTCTATACAGCACATGGGAAATCATTCACTACTAGAAGCTCTTAGGCTGCTTCAGTAAGACAAGGACTGGATGATCCAGTAGATTGGCAACAGGTCATGGAGCCTTTGCATCTTTATGGTCACCAGCCTAGATCCCTCAGAGATTATATGGATCTGACAGCCTATCTCAGAAGAATTAAAGTTTTATATCCAGTTCCCAGCGGACAAAAGCTGCCATGCCAGCTGGCAAAAAAATTAAACTAGTTTCCCTGTCAATATTCTCAGCAGAAAAACTGAGGACTGAATGGACTATGGAGAGCCAACTTTTCTGTGATGACTAGACGTTCCTTTCTCCAGATCAGCATGAAGGTCTCTTAGCAGGACAGTGTACAGGAAGTTGGCTCTCACTGACTTGTGCTGTACCTAGATAGAGTCTTTTCTCTCCAGAATTGTTAGTCCAACAACTTTCCTTTAGCTCTGTGTTTAATATATTTAAAAAAAAAAAAATGCGTTCATCCATAGGAAAACACCTCAGAGATGCACTGATCAGTTTCTGCTGTAAATTCTGTGCAGTGACCTTTTGTTCAATCAGTCTGCACACCAGGAGACAGCAAGGACATCTGAGGATCACCACAAAATCAGGCAACTTGAGCCATTATTTCAAGTTTTCCGTTTCTCTAAAATAACTCTCAGACAACTACTACCAGTTAGGCAGTTGTCCAAAATCTGATTGCTGAAGACTCACAGGACTGAAAGTGCTGTCAGAAGTTATGAATTTGTGTGGTGCTTCCAGATATGGATGCAGGGCAGACCATTCACATGCAGCTGTAGGAAACGATCCTCCAGGCAACCCAGGAACTATGAGTGTCAGGGTGCATGCACTCAGCATGCAGAAGCTAGCTGTTTTGGGTCTGGGTGAACCTTGTCTAGGAGCTTCAACTTTTTATAGACATTTATTTCCTCTATAAGACTAATACCATCTCATCTTCAAAGGCCATGTGTCACAATAACCTTTCTTCGGGCCAAAGAGGGACACAAGTCTTTCCTCCAAGCAGTGCTAGGGAAGGAGGGAAAATTATTTGAAGGATTTCTTTACATCAGAGGCAGGACACAACTTCCCAGAACCTCTTCCAACTCCAGATCATCTGGAAAGCTAGGATCCTCAACTTGAATCCCCTGGCATGCAGGTTACAAAGGACCAGTTCCAGAGTTACAGCCCTTGAGAGCTCATACCTTTATGATTGCACTTACTGGGCTGGGAAATTTCAGCTTTAATAGGCCAACAAGAAAGTTTGCTGTAGTCCTGATCCAATGTCTTGGATTCATTCTTGCCACGCTAAGATGAGCTCAGTGTGCTTTGCAAAAAACTGTTTCACATAGAGAGTCCAAAGTTTTGATCTGGGATGTGTGAAATACAGGATTCATTCCCTCCAAAAAGCACAGACGGATTGTAAATTACTTATCTCCTCACTTCCCTATTGTTATCCCTCCAGGAGTGCCTCTACAGGAATATAAAGTTGCAACAATTTTTTTTAAGACAGAAATCTTAGCCATTCTTGTTTTCCTTGAGACACCTTTTGTTTTGGCAAGCGCAGGCTACCAGCGGGTGTTTAGTAACTCCATGTTTAGCTGGAATTTGTCTTATATATGGGTTTGATCTGAGTAATTGCGCTCTCAGAAATCTTTTGCAGATCAGGTTAGCCAGTGTCTGCTCTTGTTAGATTATGCTATTCCTTAAAAAGCCTTTTAAGACTACAGGCTTGTACAACTGGCCTAAGCTAGGTCTGGTCTTGCCAACACTGAAACGTAACACAGAGCTCCTCTGAAGACCAACCAGGTCTCCAGAGAAGCCATCTGTGTGATTCATACTCACCTGTTCATTCACTGCTGTGCATAGGTGGTGATGGGCATACAGACCTGTCACCGCTGTTTCTGTACTGTTTATGACATTCCTCGTTGTTGCCCATTTTATGTGCAGCGCTGCTCTGCCTGCTGTGGAGAGCTTATTCTGCCTCTGGGTGGTAATTGTCCACGAGGACAATCAGACTCTAGGAGAGCATCTTTGTCTGAATGTGTACAAAGCCCAACTACCTGCCCATCCTTCTGTGCATCCAAGAACAGGCAGCCAGCTTGGACAGAGCAGCCAGAGTTCTGGAAATAAATGGTTTGGGATGGACCCTATTTTCTGCTGGTCAATACCTTTAAAAGGAATATATTTCCGAATATTGGTGGTGCCAGGGTATCAGCGGCACCCATTACACACCAGTGTTTCTAGCTGAAGAGCACTAATTATTCTAATGCCTCTTTCTCCAGCTCGGTGTCCATGGATACGCCTTTCTGAACACCAACAACGGTTACATCCTTTCACACCCAGACCTCCGTCCTTTGGTATGTATAGCTCTGAATTTGAGAACCTTTGCTTACTTGGAAAGCAGTGCCTTTCAGGGATACTCCTGATTTCTCATATTTTATTAAGCTGTGAAGGCTACCAATCTGATATATAGGCACTCAAGAGCACGAGGGCCAGAGAAATCAATTCCACATGCATAGATGTATATATGTACACACACGCATATGAAGCGTAAGGTTCCCTGCCTGCCTGTTCTCCATACGAGTGCACATGAGGGCTGATATTTGTGTGCGCTTTCTGTGCTGTGGGTGCACATGTATCTGCATCCATGCATGGTTTCACTGCTGGGCTGAAGAAACAATTCCCCTCGCTCAGGCACATCTCCTACAAGAAGATTCAGCGTGAGTAACACCCCAGTAATAGCTACCCAGCAGCTGTAGTGTTGGACGTTTTGGGAATATGAGGCTAGCAGGGTCCAGTACCACAAATCTTAGTAACTTGGTAAGTCAGAGATGGTGTAGAGACCAGTAGGCTGCAAAGACCTTCTGGGACTTGAAGGAGTGGACACAAGGAAAACGCTTCTCCCTTGTGGAGCCACCTGGAGCTCCAGACCACACATCTCTCTACAAACACACAGCTGGCCTTGTCACCCAGACACCCAGGCACGCAATGACTTTACATTTCATACGCATGCCTGCCGGCACAAACCTACCTGCACACAGCTATAAGCCTTGGTGCAGTTACCGGCAGGAGAAAGTGCCACCACAGGGCTTCACGCCAACAGCCTTCGGAAAGGCAGCTTTGCACAGGGAGAACGCAGGCACGGGTAGCTTCACTATGTGAAGGGACACATCGTGTTTCCAGGATGGGGCAAGGCAAACCTAGGCAAGGGCACTGCTTTATCCTCCACCTGAAATTGGCCTCTCAGTCTGCTTCACACCTTTTCCTTCACCCAGAAGGTTACAGGGAAATAGCTCTCTTGTATCAGTTAGCCCGAGGTGAAAAGTCTACCTTTCTGTCAGTGGAGCCAAAGCCTAACTTCAATCAGAAAAGATCTCCTGCTGGTATTATAGTGTTAATGGGATTACACTCTTAGCTGTGGGAAAAAACAGATTTCCTGGAGGCAAGCATATTGTACAGATCCATGTGGAAGAATATTCACAAAGGAGGCTGTAGCCTTTACCTGTAAATTTATCTGTGTTCCTGCTTGTCCCTTGCTCCTGGAACAGCCTCTCCCACTTGAACTATCCTAGCCCCACATTACCTGCATAAACATATACATGATATGGGACCGAGAAGGCACTTGCACCCAAAAGCTGCCTTCCCAGTCAGAGGATAAATGAGACACCCCTATTTTTCAAATTAGATATAATTTCCTAAATGGTTAGTTTAGGAAGTTATCTAGCCACTTACTTATGGGGTTTTTGTTTGGTTTTTTTAATAAATGCCAGTACAAAGAAGGAAAGAAACTGAAACCTAAGCCAAACTACAACAGCGTAGATCTCTCAGAAGTGGAATGGGAAGACCAAGATGAAATAGTGAGTATCAGAAAGCAAATTTAAACCTTTTTTGTAGCTGCTTCCTTCTATTACTTTGTGTGCCTGTATGGAAGGGGCAGGGGAGCAGCCAGCACTCCTGTTTTTTCCTGGGACAGACTGGTCCTGACTAAGAGAGGCTGGTGGTCTATGAGGGGACAAGGATGATGATTCCATACAAAGTGCTTGTCTTCTTTCCAAGTATGAGTTTTCCTTCTCAGGGAACAGGGAGGGAAAGCACTGGCAGGAGGAAGGAAGCACTTTGGAGGGTGCTCCAGGGAGCCAGTCTCCGTGTACATGGTCCAAATGCATGGCAGTGTCCCATGGTGTTACCCATACATATAGTATGTGAGATATAGCTCAAGCCACTCACCTAATGAGATCTGCAACAAGGAAAAAAGAGCATTCAAAAAGAGATTAAAGCTTGCAGTCACTATTAATAATAAACAAAGAGGATAAGGGACTTAGATGCTTGAGAAAAATGAATTTCCAGAAACTAACTTATTGCACAGGTGTGAAGGCACTGAAAACAGTAGCTGACCAGAGGGAAAAGATTAGAATATGCCTTTTCGACTGTCTTTTGAGCAATATTAATTAAAGTGATAAACAAGAAACAGCACACACCTTAACAAAGAGCTGCACATTGCCACGTTGCACAACTAGGAACGCAGGTATAATGAGAAGGTAGAAAGGTTCCTCTGTGGCTGGTTTTCTTTTACTCAGAAGAATTAGGAGAGAATAGATACTTAAGTTGCTAAGATAAGAACTGAATTTGGAGTAAGATAGAATTAGCTGTGGGACACATGCTTCTGGATTACAGGGGAGCCTGCTGAGATAAACGGATCTGATGGTATAGATACCCACTTAAACAGGCAGGACAAACACACTACCCAGCAAGAGGATCAAAGTAGCTACTGTCACTAGTGCAGGCCAAGTACAAAGGGCCACGCTAAAGGAACCAGGGAAGTGGAAGAGTGTCAAATTTGAAAGAAAACACGATGGGACTGGGTGTGAACCACGGAAAGCAAGACAAAAGTAAGAAGCTTTACATGCAGTGGAACCCCCAAGATGCAGGTTGCCAATGGCTTTGTGTGCGTTCAGTGATGTCTTTTAGGAGCTCTGCTCCCATTGTAGTTTTCTCTCTCTCCGGAGTCACTGTTCCTCTCTACCTAGCTTGCTATTTTACAAAAAAATAAAAATCCAGGAAATGAGAGGTCTTTGCTTTGCTGTCATATTTATTTGGCTAGCAGGTTCCTGTCTGACCAAATAACATTGATACTTGGATGCAAATATGATGCAAAGTGTACAGTTTCTGTCCGTAGGCAGAGTAAAACTACCCAGTGGAAAAGAAAATGTCAAAAGAGACATGAAAAACAAAGCCACTTTGTGTTCCTGTACTGCATCTTCCAGAAGAAAGAAAGGCTGGAGTCACTGAGGGTACAGAGACATTCAGTGACGTGAACGGTATCTGCAGCGTGACTTCAGCAAGTCTAGAGACTCTCAAGATACATCCACTGCAGCAGAAAGCTGCCAACATTTCAACACTCAGATTTGCAGCTACAGTATTAGATCAATGACAGACTCAACATCAGTTGCAGTATAATCTCAGCAACACCGATAAGCAGCAAACTCAGACTGGAAAAATATGCCCAAGTGCTAACGATGTGTAATACAGCCAGCTGCTAAAAAGAAATCCAGGGGAGGGAAGATGGCACTGTCTGGAAAATACCAATAGTACTCTCTGCAGCTGGGCAGCAAGGAAGTTTGGGCTTGCAACACGGGGATATTCTCAGCATGAGGGGAAAAGGGAAGGGTTGAGGGATCCTTCCCAGCAGTCTAGGAGCTGTCACCCAAACAGATTCTCTTCAGCGTTGACAGAATCACTGGAGAAGAACCTCACCTGCAAGGATGTTGAAACCAAATGGCAAAACACCTAGATGTTGTGAGACCCCTCAGGTAAATTGTATGTCTGTGTTGGTTTGAAACTACAGAAGCAGACAGGGAAAAGGAGTCGGCAGCACTTGCTGCCGGTGATGGGGACAGCACAGACTCGTTGCCCTGCAGCAGGAGAGTTTGCTGTTTGGGTTGTCAGGAACGAGTGCTTCAGCACGCACCAGACAACCCCTCCGTCCAAACTCTGCTACACGTTTTTCAAAGTGGAGGCCAGCTGTTGCCAGAAGTGTCCTGCCTAAAAAGGATTGAGTCACCAGGACCGTACCTGACTTCTTAATGCAGGAAAAGCTATTGAGGAAGAAGGAGCAAACCTGGATTGCGGCACCAGCCCACAGCCACTGTCACCCGTGGGCTGGGCACAGGACAAGCAGTCTGCCTGCAGACTAGCTGGAGCTGAGGAGATCCAAGGAGATCTGATATCCACTGATTCCCTTCGCTGCCTTATGGGGCAACGAGAGATACCTGATATTCAAGAAGATATGGATGAAGCAACAATATCTGAACTAAACCCAGAGCCCATAGAAAATGCTGCAGGCTGTCAGACCAGAACAGAGAGTATGCCGTGGCTCTGGCAGGAGGTCAAATGCTCTTAGCCAAAAAGGAGTAATAGTACCTGTCAGTGTTTTGATTTCTGAGATGTGGGCCTTGAGAAACACAAGCTTTATATTCTAGCTCTGTAAATAACCCACATTAAACAGAACTGTGGCCCTGTAAAGCAAAAGCAGCTGAGACTGGCCAGCACTTGAATGGAGGCCTGTCTCTGGAAGTAAGGAACCAATTTGTGTGAATGAATCCGTTACTTCCCACCTTTTTTTCTATCCAGGCTGAAGCAATAGGCTGATATGCTCCAGCAGGCTGGACATAAAGTCAAAGCCTCCGCAGTTGTGGAAAAATTCCCTGGCTCTTTCTTGCAAGTGGCTGGGAGTGACTGTGAAAATTACATTTTGCCTTTGGAACCTGTATTAAATAAAGTGGTCTCCTCGCTGCCTACCCTGCTATCGTAGTCTTGCTTTGCTGTGTTAAACAGCTGCTTTGCTGCACCTCAGAAGTGGTGCTGAATACAGCCTATAATTTATAAATCGGTTTAAAAAACATCCAAGAGCTTTGGAATCGATCTGGGGGAGTTAGTGGGTTTCTCAGGTGTCTCCTCTTCCAGGCTCTCAAAGCACCATGCTAATGACTTTCTAGCTGCCTAATGGTGAAGCCTGAAACTTGGACTGGCAATTTCATAGCTTCCAGGTCCTTTCCTTTCACTAAAAAGACACATCAACAAGCTTTCAGCATAAGCTGTTATTATTCTGTGTCACTTATCAGCCTGATTGAACAAGGATCCTGACCACTGAGAACAGGTTTTCAGTTTAAAAGAAGCAAGAAAGAGCTGTGGGGTGGATAAAAACCCTACAGTCACTCTTTTCTGCCAGCCCCTGTATGTGAATGACAAGTGGCTCTATTAATTCCTGTCCTGCCCTGCCTGGAGACACTAATACTAATCTTGTTCACCTCTGCAGCTGAGAACTGCCATGATCAATGGGGAAACGGGCTACCTCTCTATGGATGTGAAGGTCCCTGTGGATAAAGGGGTAAGAAGTTATCCTTCTGTTCAGGTCAAACGAGAGAGGGGATGGGAAATAGATGCTGAAGAACCAAGAAGGATGTGGTTTTAAGGTTCAACATTTCTGAGTGTGAGGATTTTATTGTTTCACCACATATATAACACATGTGCTAAAGACATAAAATAGAGCATGGTTAGGAGTGCTCTTTATACCTACTGACATTCTGCTCTCACAAAGGTATTGGAAGTGCCTCACAGCTCCCTACTTTGTCCAGGCAAAGCCAAAAGGCATGTTGTTCCTTGTTTATAGGGCTGTGAAATGGAGATCTTCAAGAGTTTAGAATGTGGGAGACTATGCTGGTCTGACCTAGACAGAAAGAGGTTTGGAGACTATTTTGCAATTCCCTTCCCCTACCCAAAAACACTCACGAAAACTGTCCCTTGCTGTCAGAATCTGATTTCCTTTATCCAAGTCCAGGATTAAATTTCTATACAAATATTTACAGACATTTTATGAAAAGTCCTAGTGAAATGGAGACTTTTGAATGTTCCCTACCACGTCTAATGTAGGGTTATACATCTTCCCTTGGAATCAGTGCAAAATCATCTTGTACATTTACGTTCACTGGTACTTTTTCATTCAGGTTTATTTAACTCTTCTAAAGATTTTGGCTTTCATCATGGACCTGTTGGAGAGGGTCCAGAGGAGGGCCACAAAAATGATCAGAGGGATGGAACACCTCTCCTATGAGGACAGGCCGAGAGAGTTGGGGTTGTTCAGCCTGGAGAAGAGAAGGCTCCTGGGAGACCTTATTGCAGCCTTCCAGTACTTAAAGGGGGCCTATAAGAAAGATGGGGACAGACTTTTTAGCAGGGCATGTAGCAATAGGACAAGGCGTAATGGTTTTAAACTAAAAGAAGGTAGGTTTCGACTAGATATACGGAAGAAATTTTTCACAATGAGGGTGGTGAAACACTGGCACAGGTTGCCCAGAGAGGTGGTAGATGCCCCATCCCTGGAAACATTCCAGGTCAGGCTGGACGGGGCTCTGAGCAACCTGGTCTAGTTGAAGATGTCCCTGCTCACTGCAGGGGGGTTGGACTAGATGACTTTTAAAGGTCCCTTCCAACGCAAGCTGTTCTATGATTCTATGATTTCCTGTTAGGAAGTATTCCAGAGTCCTGCAAGTTACACTGCCCAGAAGGCTTTCATATTTCAGGAAAATTTCCCATTTTTTAATAGAGAGCATTTTTTTCAGCGATCAGGCTGGCTGAACTGCTCCCATGCTAAGCCACAGTCAGCACCAGTTCCAATAAACCAACTGCTCACAGCCACAGCTGAAATGGTGCCATTTCCTAATGAAGACACCCCTCCGTTTCCTCTGAATGGTTGTACCGCTCGATCTTGTAACTGAATTATCTTTCTCTATTTTTGGTGTTTGCAACTACCAGGTACCTGTTCAATGGCTTTGCCCTTCCTCTCCTTGGCATTGCCAACATCTGCATTTGAGATACTTGCACACTTTTCAGTCCAAGCAGGTTTTTTTTGTTCCCTTTGTCTCTTGTATCATTTCTGGTATGCAAATACCAGGTGCTGAATTATTTGCGTACTCTCTCCCTGTGGCTCTGTAGAGAGCATCCCTTCTCTGCAACAGGATATTTCTGAAGAGGGAGCCCCAAATCTCCTTTCCACTGTCCCTTCAATTTTTTCTCCTTCCCACAGCTGTGCCGGAATGGCTGCTGTTGTTTCCGTGCTTCTATGCTATTTTTTCCAGTTGCCATTTTTCCATGTGAATTCCAGTCCTATTTGCCCAGTCCTTCTAATTTTTAGGGCTCTTTGGAATTTTTTTTCAGTATGCAGAGAAATGCTGTCTTATTCTATTTTACAGATCACTGTACATAAGGGCTCCCAAGATAGAGTCGGTCTGTTCCTCTTGTTAGATCTTTTTCCCTTGATGCCCTGTTGTTTTCTGTTTCTTTTTGTTTGCAGTACTGCAGCTGGTTCTCACTCCGCATCTTATTTAAGCCCACTTTAACTGAGTCTTTAGAATAAAATTTCATGAGAAGCTCTTTCAAGTGCTTTATATAAACCCAAATACATTGCATGTCCTTTATTCCCTTCATCCATTATCTTTGTTATTCTGTCAGAAAAGCAATCAGGGTTTTCCAGCAAGATCCATTCTTTGTAAGTCTAGATTGATTATTTCTCTAGCTTAACCTCATTCTCTGTCTCTGTGCACCCTTAGTAACATTTCTTCTGAGTCATCCAAAGATATCTTTTTTAGTTCAGTATTTTAGGGACATCTTTTTGCTCCCTTACTCAGGGAAACAAAGATAACAAAAAGTAGCCTTGGTAAGAGATATTACCTGTTTTATTCTGCAACTCTGCAAGCCTTATGAAGCACAATAGGCGACTGAAGCCGAGTATGTGACAGTTTTACTATTATCAGAATACACACAGAGCGGGGACCAGAACTGAAACTTAGCAATTCCCACTTGTACTCTGCTCGCTGATGAAGCAGAGCTGCAGTTGAAACAAAGAAAGTGCTGACAGAGCCTTGAAACAAAGAGAATGAGGCAGTCAGACAGTGGAGAGAAGGGCTGAGTGAAGGGGACAGAAATTACTCTGTCAGCCACGTAAACGTTGATTCCTCAGATTGATCTCAGGAAGGGAAAAGTAAGATCCAAAGACAAGGGGCGGTTATTAGAGAGACCTGATGGCAAAAATGCCTTTGCTTGCAGCTAGGGTACAAAAGGGTTGTGACGGAAAGCAAAAGAGCGGGGACATGGTTAGGAGCTGTGGCAAACCACTGATGATGGCACTAGCCAGAAGTGACTGCCTAGTACAGTGACAACACCAAAACTGGAAATACATGTGTTCCCAGACAACAGGTGGTAGTCAGCCATCCTACTGCTGTGCCAACGTGCCCATGTTCTTGTCTTCTGCCTTGCTATGTGGCAAAGTCCTGCCTGGTCTTCCTCAGAGCCAGTTGGCTCCAGGATGCCTCTGCTTCTCTCCCTTCCCACGGATGAGTGGTGATACCTCCAGCTGGCCAGCCACCCCCTCTCCCTGCCCAAACAGAGGTTTTCCCTCCCTCACAGGCACCAGTGCTGAGTGGCTGCATGTGCAGAAGAGGGGCAGGTGAGGGGAGCAAAGATGAGCAGAACAAACCCTGCTGAAGGAAAGGGTCTCAGAGTAGTGGTGCCCCCAGGCCATTTTCTACTGCATCATCCTTTACTCCAGGGGAAGGCCTACACCCCCAGGTCTCCTTCTTCCCATGCCTCCCCACCTCCACCATCAGATCACACTGGCAAGGAAAGGGAGGCTTAATACCTCTTGTAACTTCCCCACAGTCACCAGAACACCACCATGCCATGTCCCTTGAGGGTATCACGGCACTCCTGGAACATCTCATCTCAGCAAAAGACTCGGACCCTGTTGCTCAACAGTACACAATTGCCATGCATGGAGTGAGCAGGGAGGGAAGGGGTTGAGCTGTCTCCCACCTCTTCACCTACCAATAACCCCCATCCCCGTCAGCCCATCCGCTGTGTGCACAAACCTGGGGCACACTGTGGAGCTGGTGCTGGCTCGCCCTTCATGCCTCGCTCCACTTCCACTGCTGCACGGCTTGAGCAGGTTAGAGCAGGCACGACTTTACCTGGGGAACACTGAGTTTTCTGTGTTCACTCCCTGTCTCCCACACACATCCTCTCACCTCGTTTTCAGACTGGGGCTGGGATTTTAAACATATTAGGGTTCATATACTGGCATAAAGGTTGGATAGAAATTTTCCAAAAACTTTTCTCCTTTGGAAAAGACTTCCATTGAAATCAACACTTTTCTACAGGAAAAGGCCAGTCTGGCAAACAGCTGAAGTTCTGAAGCAGCTTTCAATAGTCTGAAATGTCTTCAGTTGAAATGTCAACCTGAAAAAAATATTTTCATGTGAATCAAAACAGCTTGGACTTGAAACAGCACTTTTGTTCAATTTGAAAATGTAAATTGTTTCCTTTAGTGATGTTTTCTAACAAAATTGGAATATGTTAATGTTTTGTCCCAGTTTGGCATGAAAGCAAATGTCAGGAATCTGAGCATTTCCCACAGGAGTGGGGAGACTTGGCCCCAGCTGCCCACCCACACAGATTTGCCATCCTGCCTCTCCTCCGATCCCATCTCTCCTTCCTACCTGCTCCACTGAGCCCCCCCTCCTGCTCAGGATGATGATGATGATGTGCAAAGCCATCAAGGTTGTTCTGTACAGCAAAAGAGCAGCAGGGCCCCCAGCGCATTGGCTCGGAGGGTGCAAGAGGGAGGGCAGCTTCACCCCACCCCTTCCTGCAGCCTGTGCAGGAGCCCTAGAGCAAAAAAAGTTTTAACTGAAGCCCTAGATGGAAAGACAGACTGGCTCCCTGGATCCTGAAAGTCACAAATTGCTGAATATGCTGAATACTGCACATTCATCCCTGCCTCCAGCCAGCCCTAGCAGGGTGTGAATTGTTAGTAATGATCAACTACTTTTGCTTAGCCTTGGCAACCTATATCCCAGGTCCCCATCACCACTATGCCTTGGTCTGTCAGATGGTCTCTCACTTTCTTTTTCATGCTCTTTATTCCAGAAACGAGTTCTCTTTCTCACCAATGATTATTTCTTCACGGACATCAGTGGCACACCTTTCAGGTGAGCAAGGACTCACATGACACCAATATGGTGTATCAGAAATCTGCCATCAGGGACAGCAAATTGGTCCCTTTTCTTCATAAAACTGGCTACAACTCATGAGTAGAGCAATGTGAATAAAAGAAGTCAGCTTCTTTGTTCCTATAACCATTAAAATATTGGTTGACGACAACTCAAAAGGAATATTATGATTTATCTGAAGTTCAGAATCCAAAACCTATACCTTAGGTGAAGCATGTTGTTTCATTTCAGAGAAATGAGACATCTTCAATTTTCAGTTCCACTGAATATGTTTTATGTTCTGGTGTATGGCTCTAAACAAAACATTGTTATAAACTGAAAATTATAAAACATCACAGAAGAAATCAAGCAAAAATTTTTTTTCTTTTTTTCCCCAGCTGAAATGGTTTGAAACTGGCACAGGTTTGAGAAATGTTATTGTTGACCTGAACCTACAATGTTGGCCAAAAAATTGACAGCAAAAATGCCTCATAGGTCTACACACAGGTTCCTTAGCCTCTTGTGCTGAAATTGGATCTCACTTAATCCTCTTTTGATGATATTCTTTTCTTTAATAGCAGTGGAGGGAGTTAATGTCTTTAAGGGTTGTAATTGCAGGGAACACAGTGTCATGTTTAGGGATTACACCTCTCCTTGCTGACAAGCCCTGTTTTCCCTCCTGCCTGCAGCCTGGGTGTTGTGCTGTCCAGGGGACACGGGGAGTACATTCTGCTGGGGAACACGTCAGTGGAAGAAGGTAGGTTAATCTGGAACAGCCACGCTATCCTAAGGGACAAGGTAGCTACTCTGAACTTCACTGCTTTGCTGCTTCTTCACAGCCTGTATCTGTCTGTCTGCTGCCTAACTGAATACTCTATGCATTATCTGGTTTCAGGTTTGCACGACCTGCTCCAGCCAGACTTGTCTTTAGCAAATGAATGGTAAGCGGAGGAAATCCTGTCAAGGACACAGGACTTTGTCAGAAGGTTTTGGCAAAGTTCTCAGCAATTTGGCTTCAGTTCACCACCCTCAGTGGCCTAGAGAAAAAGCAGTGCTGTTCAGGGGCTGTACCTGGAAACACCTGACTGTCTCTAGGCAATTCAGTTTCACCTCTTCCTTTGGGAGATCCCACCAAAGCCTGGCACATCCCTCTGCTAGGAAACATCTCCTGAGACTTATCTTCAGTATTCTGTGCTCAGACTTATTTTGTTCCTCCTCGTTGGCTCAGAATTGTGCTACAAAACCTACAGTATGTCAGACGTGTCAGAAAATTTTGTTGTAAGCTTGGTGAGAGATTGAAATGCTTTTTTAAATCCTAGCTTATTTTTGGTTGGCATTCTTCTGAACTGAGCCTAGACCTAATTTCTAGTGAACATGGATGTGATTTATGACCCCTGTTTCAGTAGCAAGCATAATTTATGGGTTTGCTTGGTTTGGATATGAAACAGGGTGAAGCATGGCACTTTCCATTTATTGCTGTGAGGTTTGGGATTTTCATGAACCCAGCATTCAGTTACACTCAGGCACATGAACCAAGCCTGTATCAAAGCCAAAATAACTATATTCAAGAAGCCCCACAGCCCTTCACACCTTTCATTACACTGTCAAGTTTCACAGGCAGCGCATTAGAGACACAAGCAGTGACTTCTCCTTCTTCTACTCCTAACTCGCGGTGTCAGTTTACCACACTTTACATATTCATTTCTCTTAGACTTCTCTCATAAATCACTCCTTTCAGCCCCTTTATGAGTTGTGATTCTCTCTTATAACCCCTTCCTCTCCCTTGTCCTGACAATGAAGTGGTCAAAATTGGAAGCATGATTAGAAGACTGGTTTCTTTTGTAATACAGAGCATTAGTAATACACTCTCCTGCTTCTCCCCAAACTGTATCCTGAGGCTCCTGCAGCTGTGTCCTTTTGGGGCAGCTTTTGTTGCCATCATTCCTGATCTCACATTTTGTTTCTCTGTCTCTTGCTTCTTCTGCTCCCAGTGAGGTCTTACTCATATTGCACATGACTCTCTGCTTTTCAGGTCTCTCCATCACATTGTTATTGTTTATATAGACATAGCTACACACCTTACACAACATGTAATACAGATAACTGCTGGAAGGATTTGGGACTGCTGTGTTGCATTGTGAGTTTATGCCAGAGAGCATAACAGCAGCCCTGCTAAACGCAGCAGTCAGATTAATTGGTGTTCGGTTTATTGGTAGGGTTTGACTTACAGCCACATTGTTAGATTTTGAGTGGGCACAGCATGCAACAGCAGCAAAATCTTTACAGCCCAAGCTTTTTTGCTGAATTTTTGTTTGCAGTTACTATCTTCCAGGAGCATTTCCTTGACTGTGGTTTCTCTTTGCCCTTGCGGGTTTCTTCTCCCCTCCCCACCAGGATTTACTGCATCACCGACATTGATCCGGACCACCGGAAGCTCAGCCAGCTGGAGGCTGTGATCCGTTTCCTCACCGGAGAGGAACCTGACCTGGAATGTGAGTCCCAGGCACTGAAAAGGCGCTGCTGGGATTTCCCTGTACCCATCACAGGGGAGAGGGGACTGTGACAAACTGACTGGTGTCAGACTGAGCTCCTGTGCCACCTCCTCACACAGGCAGGACTGAACTCAAGCCCAGCTTAATTCACAAGTGGAAATGAGCTGAGGGTCCACTTCCTTGTCTCTGTCAGAGGATTTTTTTTTCATTTCAAATCTGTCGCATAACTCAGCTGCATTGAAGGTCTCAGCATAGGAAATACTGAAAAGTGAAAGGCTTGAATGGAGCTTGGTGGGGACTGCACACGATGTTTAAGACAGACTGACCAGAGGGGGTCAGTCATCACCCCCCTCTGGCTAAAGCAGGTGATGGCAGGAGGAGCCAAGAAAGCTGCTGTGACTACTCTGCTCCTCAGGGCCCCAGCCAGCATCCTCCGAAGGCTGCATGGTGCCATCTAAACAGACGGGTTCTTTCAGAACAAGGGTTATTAATTTTGTTTTCCAAACACAACTGGTAACTGATTCGGGGGAAAAAACTGTTACAGAATTATTATCTTTCCTGCTCCCCTTGCTGCTCTCCCCTTGCACCAGGTCCCATTCTCCAGGCGAGGTGTAGCCACACAAGCAGCTGATATAGCACCACTATGGAGTGGGACTTCTGCTGCGGGGCAGGGGTGGGCATGGCAACCCCCTACAGCAATTTAGCTTTAGGATGTCCTTCAGCCCACCTCACTCCCCACAGCTTCAGCCCCCTTAGTTGTGCCATGTACAAGCTTTTGCATGTAATACTCCATCTGAGAGGCACGAACCTTTGGCATGTTTTGGATGGGAATCTCTTAAAACTAAAACCAAATGTAATCCAATAATTGCTCCTCTCTTGCATAGTGTGAGCAGACCCCTCCTGGCTGTCTTTGGAGGCGGCTAAAAAGAGGAGATGTATGAGTTGAAGAGGCCAGGGAGGAGGAGGAAAGTTTCAGGAGAGCTGACTGTGAGAAACATGCAGATTTGGAAGTGCTGTGGAGGGAAAAGAAATAGGATTTGGATACATCCTAGACATTTGGTGCCTGGGGAGGAAAATATCTGCTGATGAGCTCTGTTTTTGAGGTCTGAATGACAGCAAGGATGGAGAAATGGATTGTGACAGCTGTGACAAAGAAAGGAGAAAGAAAGTTGGGAGAACTTGGGAGAAAAGCTTAGGGGATGCCTGGGTCTTCAACCCAGTAAGTGGAGGCAGAAACATTGAAAAGGGGTGGGGGGTGGCTCTATCTAGAACACCACTGAAAGGGGCATATCTGCAATATGATAGCCATCACATTCTCACAGCACGAAATGAATGCGGGCAGGGCAATGCAGAAATGAAGCAGGTCAGATAAAGAGGATCTTAGAGTATGCTATTTAGCACATGGCATATTCTAACCTTCCTAAACAACCCTCAGTCCCAATCCAGGCTGGACTAAACTGGTAGACTAGACTGGCTTGAGCATCTGGGGGGAACCAGGACAAGAGATTTACAGGAAGGACAGAAGGGTAACAGAGAAGCCAATGAACACAAGGACAGAGTAGAAGCCATAAAGAAGTCACCTGGGGCTTTGAAGAAGCTTCTTGAGTGGAGTGGGATGTCTGGTGTCCTTCTACAGGGCACCTAGAAGAAACGTCAAAGCAGGGAATTGAGGCAATGGTTGTGGACAGCCTGTTCAACCAAGGAGACAGTCAGAGTGAAGACATTATGAATAACTTTCTTTGAAAGCCTCTCGCTTGCCAACACTTTCAAACCCAAACCCCTTCCACTGAGTTTGCAGGGGAACCAGTCTGATGATCTTAGTATAAAACTGTTCTTGAGTTCTCCGACATTGAGGACAGTAGGTCCTATTCTCAGCCCTGCAAGGGGAGGCCTCTTTTTGTGCCATGTTGCTTCACTGCCCTGGGCCAGGCAGATGCTCCATAATAAGGAACTCTCTAAGACATCTAGGGAGGGACATGTCTTTCTCTCCTGATTCTTGTTCTCTCTTCTTCTTAGGTGATGAGGAGTTGGTCCAGGAGGTGCTGTTTGATGCAGTTGTCACTGCACCCATGGAGGCCTACTGGACAACACTAGCCCTCAATATGTCCATGTACGTGTATGAGAAATTAATATGAGTAAAACACTGTCAAAGACACACGTCCAGATGCTATGGGCTTACGCAGTGCCTGAAACAGCCACAGATCCTTTTACGGCATCTAAGAAACTTTAGAAATAGCTCAAAAAGCTGATAGAAATAGCTCAACAGCTTTAGAAATAACTCAGAAAGTGTCTCTCAGGAGTGGACTCCAGCAGGTTGGGCCTTCTCAGGTGAGCCTTTAGTTTGGTGAGTTTACCTGAATATCATTGGAAGACAGCATCCAGATGTGTCACTGCAAGCACCTAGCCAGTTCAGCACCAGTTCTTTGCAGCACCTAATTTAGATGCACTGCATTAACCTCTTTAGTTGATACAGTTTGGTATCTCTGGGTACCTGAGACCATTTTGGTTTAAAGTTATTATGAGTTATTTCCCCATGCATCAGTTATCCCTTTGAAGAGCAGCAGTGCAGTTTGGCTTGACTTCCCATATGACTATAGCAGAAGTTCCATCCCAGGTGGCAAGGAATTTGCTCCTTATCAGCAGTGAAGAAAAGGCAGTTTCATCTTGTCCCTGTTGGTGACGCCTTCACATTGAACTTCAGGAAGGGAATGGACAGGCTAGCTTCAGTAAACAACTTTCTACTTCATCATTTCCAGTGAGGCACCCGTTGCTTGTAGTATCTAGTTTCATGACACACAGATCTACTTTCAGCAGACAACATACTACTTAAACAGATGTGTGGCCATGGAATTCCTGTCCTCGTTTCAGTTACCAGTACTCCTACCACTAACAAAGCTTGAGCCAGCAGCAATCATGCTAGGACACCCAATTATCAGCACATCTTTAAATGGCTATGCCAATACACCCCCCTTACTTTAAGGCCACCACACTGCAGCCAGCTCTCCACCATGTAGATGTCCCCTCTGTGCCCTTGATACCTCCAGGAAGACGAGTCTGAATCAATCTATGGCTTCAAAGTCAGGCTGCTACCCTGCCCATCCTGTGTGTGCCTGAGATGGCCATTCTCTCTCTGCAGTTCCTCTCCCTCACTTGAGCCTCATGAAGGCAGCTTGGAGCAGGGCTAGCAGGAGGAGCTTATGGTCTACTTACAAGAGAACCAAATGAGCAAACTTCAAAGGTGTGAATCTAGGTACAAGTCTTAGCCTGCCAATTGTTAGCCAGTAACAACTTGTCGCCATTAACAGGTAGGAGCCAATGTCACTCCTGATGTAAATGGGTTATATAGCAAAGGAACTTGGGACCACACCTCCAGGTGTGGCTTCTAGTTTGAAAGGTCCTCACCCTTGGGCAGGGAGATGGCAGTTTTTCTGAGAACTGTTTGCTTCTGCTTGTGTGTTTCTGTTCCACAGGGAGACTGAGGCAGGTGTTGAGATGGCATTTATGGGCACTCGGGCTGGACTCATGAGGAGTGCCCTATATGTGGGCTCTGAGAAAATTTCCAACAGGTAAGTCCCTGAACAGCACTAAGGATTTCTCTCAGTGACTCTGAAGGGGCAGCACAAAATCACCACCAGTCTTTAAAAAAATATATTTGGGGAGACAGAACAGAAAGGAAAGAAGCAACACCTTGGTGTTATGGGTGCTGATTTACAGAGTTGGAATAGTAGGGATGCTTTGTCTTCTTCTGGTCCTTTTGAGTTTTTCTTAAAATACTGTCCCAAAGTGCATTCATTTCAATGAAAACCTACAATCATTCCCTGATTTCAGTCAGCTAACAGAGAAAATATCCACAGTGACTACACAACCCCAGGACCATTTTGCAGTGCGGAGGCTCTGCGCTCCAGTGCCCCAGTGACATTCCAGCTTGGCTTGGTTTGATCTTTCTGTCTCAATTCTTCTTTCGGGTTTATTCTGTTCTGCCTCTTACATTGCCCACATCGCAGTAGTATCCCACTGCCTTCCAGTGAGGCATTAAGTGATGTGACTGACATCTGTCACATACGATTCATTCTCTTGTCCTCTCCCTCAAGGCAAAAGTGTGTGTTCAGTGGAGGGTTTTGTAATGGAAAGGGTACAGTTTGCATTTTTATTGCATTTTGAATATGCAGGCTGGTGCACACTGCTCTAAGAAAGGACAGGTCACAGAGGCACACCAGCAGATGGAACAGAAGGGGACACTGTTGGTGGTGGTCCTTAGCCTCTTGGCAGCTGTTTCTCTGTCTCTCAGTTCCCCAAACACGAGTCGTACATTCAAGGCAGAGAGCTCGGCTGTGCCTGAAAGGTAACACTGTCAGCAACACTTTTCATGTTTTTGAGGGAGTCTGGATAAGTCGGAGTAGTCAGGCTCTCATGACAAGGGAGAAAACGTGTGCTATAGGCAGCTGATATGATGATTCCCTACCCCACACTGCTCATCAGCAGCATCGTTCAGTGCTTTTAAACAGCCGCAGTCACGACACTGCAGTGACAGACCCCTGCACGACACACAAGGCGCTTCTGGAATCTCCTGAAAGGAAGGAACTCTATAAATGAGTAATTATCGTGATGTCAAAAATACACAGCAAAACAAGAGCCTGTCAACAAAGAGGACTTGTCAGGCAAGATGTAGGGACCTCCAGGGAAGCCAGTGACCTGGTTTGCACGAGGTCTCTCCTGAGCACTCGCTGCCTGTCTTGCCATGCCCTCAGCACCCACCCTCTGGCCTTCAGGAGCACCCCTTTCCCCAAGTACTTCACTCTGTGTATCTCTAGTTCAGTATTTAGCCACAAGCAGCATGACCTTCAGGGGTATTTGTTTGGTTTGTTTTTTTGGTGTGGGTTTGTTTGGGGTTTTTTTGTAGGGGACCGTCCAATTCCCTTTTCCCACCTGCTCCCCATTCTCCTGCAGTAATTAACAGCCGTCAACTGGCCACATGCCACCTTGGCTTCCCTCGCCCACCCGCTCATGCTGTGCCTCACTTCTCAAGCCCGGCCTTGCCCCTTGCTCCCTCACGGCGTAACCTGCCAGGCCTCCCGCGGAGAAGGCGGACATCTTCCCTCCTGACCCCCGCCAGGCACTAAGCCCCAGAA